AGAGCGGTTTTATTATTATTGCCTAATAAATACATTTGAAATTGAGACTTCACTCGTTCGTCTGTCGTTTTGTCATGCCGCCCGAATTTGATTAAATTATCGGGTGGGAGTGTAGCGCGAACGAGATGGCAGTGCCGTTTCGTCAACACTGCCGACAGGAGGTGCCCGATAACCACAAGCGAATGTCCGCTGAAGCACATCCACGACAGGCCAATTTCCACGCACGACCAACATTCGTTTGCGGGGACTTATTATTGGAGAAGTGTAGATAACTCATAATGTGAAAAAATGTTCTTTGCCACGTGAATATTGAATCTGTTTGTAGGAAATGCACCAATTTGTTTTATAGACCAGCTCGCCGCTATGTCCTTTCGTAACGGCATTAGCATGCGTGGAGTTAGTAGCGCAATCACACGTAGCACCTCCCATGACTCAATATCACGCACATTCGCTAGGCGACGTCAAATGTCGCCGAGTTCCTTAACTTGGTCACCGCTGCTGCGCGCAGATAACCTCGGCACAACCTCTTGCACTTCCGCCTCTTGCAAATTTTGTGTAGGAACAGGTAAGAGTAAAGCCGGTGTGAGTTAAGGGAGCGCCGGCTTCGTTTGTGCTTTGGTCAGCTTGATGCGTGGAATTTTCCCGGCAGGTGCGACCATTCTGGCACTTTTCCTCAAATGAGGTGATTGAGGCGCAAAGGCCGCTTGTTCGTTTGTGGGTGACGTGGCCTTTTTATTTATCTCTGGATGGTGGATCCGCCCTACACTTGTGGATTTGCTCTTTCTTCTCTCATACTTTGTTTTGATTTCAGTATAGTCTTAACCGGTTCATTGATCAATACAAATCTTAAGTGAAATATCCGTTATGTTCCATAACATAGACATTGCGCAAAACATTGAATTAGGGTATACACCTCTTATGTTCTACGGTACACTATATGGGAAATATGGGGTTAAAGCAAAAACTGCCAGAGGGCCTAATTTTATCTACACGATCCACCATTTCCGTTAGGGGCAGCGCTATCTTTCTGTCGTCTGTTTCCGTAGATCACAACCTTCCCTTTTGGCAGCAATATTTCTCTTACCTGCCCAAATGATATCCTTCCAAATCAAATTCTTGTTGTGGCCACTAACTTTGGCGCCCTTGCACTTGCACATCTAGTAGCCTCCTTTGTCATTAATAAGCCATCAACGAATATGGAATATACCGCGCCAACCGCGTCGTTATCGCTTTCATGAAACGCTTGAAATTTTGCAGCTGCTATTGGTATCCAACCTTTTTCTAATTCTTTATACGAAAGCTGTCGCAGTACAATGACGTGGGAAATATTTATTGCCATACTGTCGATATCCACGTAGTAAACCAAAATTAGAAGCAGCCCTAACGAGCAACTGCATATTGGTTCAATGTAACGCTTTATCATACAATATTAGGGCTTATCCACCAAAGGAAATAACCAGCTAAGTTTGTTTCTAAATTTCCAGGATATTGCCAACTTTTCAGAACATACTTTTTGACCAACGAAACCACACTCTTGGCGGCTCACTACTATATCCAGCAGGACCTTGGTGGTGGAGGAGGAAACGAAAGAGGCGCTTGGGGCTGGCGAGGAAAACCCAAAAGTGCTGGTCTCTCCGACCAACTTCTCTGCAGCCAAACATGTGGCTGAGAGAGCCTCTTTATTTAGCACTATCCTTTCTAATTGAATGTCCCACTAAAGTGCACACCTCTCCAACAATTGAAGTTGTTTACCTCTGTCGACGTGCGCTACCTTCGCCAGGTCCGCTGTCCTTGCTGCACCTCGTGTTCATGGCTGCGCAACCACTCGCTCCCTCGAGAGCTAGCCACGACACGGACCAAGCAGATTGCGTCCCGGTCGACTGGTGGGCATATACCACGCACGTCATTAAGTCATCAAGCTCAACGGAAGACAACCTCGACCCGCAGTTCTGCGACAACCTCTCGCTGCCATGTCTGGACCATCTCTGGCGCGCAGGTAACCCGAGACTCACGATACTATGTCGAGTACATAATTGCGGCAGGAAAAAAGAAGGGATCTTGGCAGCCTCGCTGGCTTCTCGAAGTCGAAGACGTCTTCCTTGCGTGTCATCGGTACACTGTTGCTGTTGAGGTACTGATAGTCGTAAGAAATACGCC